GTCCTTGAGAGAGTTACAGTCTTGGAAGGCCACAGGGGCCATTCTGCCCTGTTCAGCAGGTTCGCTGCGTGTTCACATTGACTCAGAGGCAGTGATGATTTATAAAACGTCTGACGCAGGCACCGTGGGGTCAGTCTTCGGCCCTCAGGAGATGGACTGACATTGATTGCAGTCAGAGGCCCAGCACTGGCATAACAGTGAGGACAACAGCAACCTTCTATGGACTCTGGAAAAGGGCCATTTCCTGGGGGAGCCATCCGAGGTGGGGAGGTGTGTCCTTTGCTGGCTGCGAGGAGGACATCTGTATTTTCATACCATTTCTTGTGGACTGGGGTGGGGGTCTGACATTTCAGGCCACCGTTTTTGTGTTCCCTTCCCCCCTCCCAGTGGGATAGATACAGCCTGACCCGTGACGGCAACTTGATTTGATAACCAATCTCTTCTGTTCTCTGAGGGGTCCCCTCTGCGCTGCTGACTGAAAGGCTGGCAGGTTCAAACTTACCAGCTGCCCCAAGGGAGGAAGGTGAGGCTGTGGGCTCCCTAAAGACTGATGGGCCCAGAACCCCCCGGGAGCAGTCCTCTGTCCTTGCAGGGTCACTCTGAGTGGGTGCCCACCCAGCAACGGAGGGCGGTGGGCACGAAGGGCTGGGGAGGGGCAGCTCTGGGCCTGAGCATGCATGTGGAGGGCTGACTGTCACATTCAGTCGATGGACACGCCCCTCAGCCTGGCTGACCCCGAGGGCTGCTGTGCTGGCCGGCAGAGGTGGGGACTGTGACTGGGGCAGCTTTGCCGACAGATGGCGCACTCCATCCGGGGCTTGTCCACAGGAAGGTGAAGCAGAGAGAGAAAGAGGAGAGGCCGGTCTCCACAGAGCCTTATCTCGGTGGCCCCTCCTAAGGTCATCAAGCTTTGACATGATTGACAGGTTAAACTCCACCCCTGTCTCCTTCAGGTGCCAGGCTGGCACAGAGGACCTAACACACAGCTTCGAAGCCAAAGGATCAAGTCCAGCAGCTGCTCCTCAGGAGAACAAGGAGGCTGTCTACGCCCCAAGATGTACCACCCCAGAAAGCATGCGGAGCAGTGGTTCTCAACCTTCTTAATGCCGCGACCCTTTAATACAGTTCCTCATGTTGTGGTGAAAACACCCCCAACTATAAAATTACTTTCATTGCTACTGCATCACTGTCATTTTGCTACTGTTACAAATCGGGCGACCCCTGTGAAAGGGTCGTTCAACCCCCCAAAGGGGTCGCGACCCACAGGTTGAGAACTGCTGTAGAGGGTCGCTGGGTTGGCATGGACACGCTGGCCGCAGTGATCACAAGCTAGGAGGTGAGGTTGGGACAGGGACGGGGACAAGGCCCTGTTTAAGGGGAGCAGAGAGAGGCTGCGCCATGTCCCAGGGAGGCCTCCCGGGGCTGTAGACTGTCAGCCTGCAGGTCTGTCTCCGAGTCCAGGTCTGAAGCCCCCGCCCCATGCTCAGACCCGCCCTGCTCGCAGCTGAGGGAGTGACCACATGTCCTGTAGACTCAGACTCTCCTGGAGTCCGATTAGCTGGCCCTGGACCTTCCAGGACTGGAGACGCCTCTCATGTCTCTGGTTCCTGTTGTGCATGACCCTTAGGATGACACTTAAGTCCCGCGGCTCCTGTGTTGTGGGAGGCTGAGGTCTACAGCACACCAGTCCAGGCTTGGGTCCAGACACCAGCTGGGTGTTTTCTGACCACAGCTACCACTCTAGCAGCCCTGTCCCCAGCAAGAGCAGGTGCGGGAGCAATTACGACTCCCGGGAGGAGGGGTGGCTTTCCCCCAGGCTCACACAGAGGATGGGGGAAGCTAGACTTCTCCTTCTTCATGATTTGATGATGGACCACAAGCACCTGTCTTCCAAAGTTGGGGCCCGGGTGGACTGAGTGGCCGGTGCCCAGGCGGGGGAAGTGTGCCTGTCCCAGCCATAGTCCTTGCTGCTCTGGGGTCCCACCTGTGACAGGGATGGACCCGCCCTGTGCTGGTCAGGACTTGGGGAGGACAGCTCTGTTTCCCAACATCTCCAACTAGCCCCCAGGCTGAGCCAGCCAGCTAATGCCACTTGGCCTCTGTCCCGTGCAGGCTGGGGGCTTCCCTCCTCAGACACGGTGGCCCCAGCTTGGCTTCATTCTGTTTAAGACCAAACGAGGGAAGGGACGGTGGAGTTAGTCAGCTCTGGTGGTGCCGTGGGTTGGCGCTAGACTGCTAACCCAAAGGTCAGCAGTTCAAACCCAAGAGCTAGCCCGGAGGAGAGCCAAGAGGCCACCCGCTCCTGTTCCATTCAGTCTCGGAAACCCTGAGGAGCAGCTGCGTCCCGTCCTTTCCGGTCAGTGGGAGCTGGAACCCAGCTGACGGTAGTGGGTTTTAGAAATCAGAATTCGCTTGAGTTTGGGGTTTTCCCTCCTCAAACAGCTGCAGTTCGTCATGAAGCAATCACCGCCATGGCTGAGAGCCTGCATCGCACCAGCACACCCCCCAAAGTGTCTCCTCCCAAAATTAACAGACATGATGTTGTCCCTGCTCTGACGACCCGCCTGGACGGTCCTGAGAGGCTATCATGGGTCTTTACAGGGCAGGTGCAGCCAGCTTGGGGATGGCCACTGGAAGCAGTTTATCCTGCAGACTTCTGACCGGAAGGGACCCAAGGCCATGGGTCTCTGAGGAGCCTGCCACTCCTGGGAGGCAGGTCTGGGGGGCAGGTGTGGGAAGGTCAGGTCTGGGGGGGAAGGTCTGAGAGGAAGGAGCAGGACTGCGAGGCAGCAGGTGTGGAACAGCAGGTGTGGGAGGGGCAGGGGTGGGAGGAAGGAGGACTGGGAGGGGGCATGTGTAGGAGGAGGGGGCAGGTATGGGAGGGCCAGGTCTTGTGTGTGTGTAGGGGGGCACAGCGTTTCCACCGGGAGCACAGCACCCCCTTCTGGAAGCTCCTCCGTCCTCGAAGCCCTGCCCCTTCAGGATTCCTGAGGAGGGCAAAGCCAGGGTGGGGCCCCACCTGCCTTTCAGACGCCAGGCCTCCCCCACGCTGGGCTGCACCCTGGCTTCTGAGCCCCACGCCTGGTGTCCTCTGTCTGCCTGCCTAACTAACGGTGCAGAACCACTGGACATGTGACCCTACACCCAGGGCACCCAACAGGGCGGGCACAGAGGACAGCGGCCAGCTCGTGAGGCCCCAGGAGACAAAGGAACAGAGCTGCAGTGCTGCCTCCACAGGCCCGGCTGCCCCCCATGGCACAGCGGGGGGCGTGGGTGCTGGCCTGGTGCTGGCTCTGCGGCCTGCAGGTCTGAGTGCTCGGGGTGGGGCCGGGCAGAGCCAGCTCTGACTGCCAGCCAATGGCCGGGGGCCGTGCCCAACATGTGTGCTTTCCTGATCGCTTTCTCGAATATGCGTGTCACCTCCCGCCTGGGGTCTTCCCGTCCACAGACAAGAGGACAGGCCAGAGCAGCAGTGAGGCGGAGCCCAGCAGACAGGACGGGGACAGGGCAGGAGGGCCCTTTACATGACTGAGCTGGCCCAGGGTGGCCCCCAACCAAACCAAGGACTGGCGAGTCCTCTCAACTCACAGCGGCAGAGCACAGGAGACGGCCCCTAGGTGCCCCCGCTGGTCAGGCTGCGGCACCATCATCCTCCTGAGAGGCCAGTGCGTCCAAGACCTCACCGCCATCCGGTCAGCCCTTACAGGACAGGGTGCACCTGCCCGGGGGATTTTGAGACTATGTAACTTGATCAATCAATGTCCTCATCCTTCTCCCTCAGAGTGGTCTTGAACTGCCAACCTTGCCATCAGCAGCCTCATGCATAACCACTAGACCACCAGGGCCCCTGACTCTGAGGAGCTCCTGGAAAGTGGCTCCCTTTCCCTTGGACGGGGCCCTTGGCTGGGGCAAGCGGTTAGTTCTCTCAGCCACCAGCCCCCAAAGTGGGTGCTTTGAGACCGCGCCTAGGTGCCTCTGAAGAAATCAGACAGTCTGCTTTGGAAGGGACAGCCCAGTATAGCTCCTGCACACAGGGGCCACAGACCTATGCAGGCCCCTCACACACAGGGGTCCACAGACCCATGCA